ATTGTTGTAGGGAAAACATGATGCTTTGGAACTGTCTCTTGTTGAACATGTTATAATCTTATAATGACTAAAATACAATATGAAAGGTGGGAAGATGAGGTTATAAATACTAGAGAAGGACATGGTCACACACCTCAGGAATACATAACCAGTTGTTTCCTGTGGAGAGTTTCTGCTCTGTGCAGTTATGAACCCTGCAGACTTGCAATGGATGTGACAATGTTCCAAGAGTGCAGTGCTATTACCAAAAATGAAGTCCACACTTCCTTCAATATAACAATCTCTCAAATATTGTTTCCCATAATGTAAATACAGAGTGTCCTGCACCATAATCACAAAAGAAGTTTATAACCTCACTTCCTCAAAAACCATCTAGTCTACCTATTATTCCCCCTTGTTAATTGAAGATATTATAACTTTACACAACAGGCTATAAAGGATACAGGCACACTATAACTTGCACACAAAGAGTTCATCAAACCAAAAATACCAAATAAATGTACTTTAAAAGAGTTTCATAAGCAAGATGAATTCAATGAATTTGTATCATCTGAGCCCACAGCTAATTTAGAGTAAACCGATCCAATTGGACATATGCAGACCATTATGTTGGTTACTTACCAATTTAGCCAAAACAAAGGTCCAATGGTTTGGCCTTAAAAACTATAGATATTTTTTATAACTAATATCAGATGTAATCATGCCAGGACTTTTAGAAATCATCTCTAGAGAATTCGAGATTCTAATACACTTAAACACAAGTATATAACCTTCAATGGTTAAGAAGAGGAAGGTTACAATTTTTGAGTAGTCTTGGACATGGACAACTGCTAGACTTTTTTATGTGTTTTCCATTTCGGAACAGAATTCATTGAGTCATCAAATTCTCTTCAGCAATTCAACTTGACCAAATCACCATATAAAATATTTTAAGAAGTCTCTAACCTATTAATTAAAACATCAAGAGAGTGAAATACCTGCCATCCAAGGAACCTGCAATTATAGAAAGCACAACGATCTGCTGTTACTCTAACTGCCACTGCTTGCCCTGAACCCTTGTAGTTAAAAGAAGGAAACAAAAAAATCAGTACATAAGTCAAAACCATAAATTCAAAAAGCTTATGAAGATACTAACATGAAGAAAGCAAAAATAACAAAGCATCTCAGTAAATAACATACAACAAGTCCAACTTAGGATCTATTTGGGTAAATTTTTCTAAAAGCATTTCTAAGAGTATAAGATAAGAAAGAAAAATGAAAAACTTTTTCATAAATTTAAATTAGTTAATACAAGTTAATTTATAGAAGTCTCTCTGATTAACTTTTATAAAATCTTATTCTTATCTTCACTAATTTTAGTTTATAGAAAAACTTATTTTAATTTTTATTTTTATAGACAAACTTGTCCAAACATAACCTTAGACTGGTAATACAATAAAAGACGATTGACATATCTATCTTTGGCAATCGACAGACACCTTCAAATTACAGAGAGAAACCATCCTAAATACCTTCATCGTTTTACGAACATAGATGGTGTAAAATCTGAAAATTTCTAAATAGTTAACTCCTTGATCAACACTTTTTGTCGTGGACCCATCACATATAACCATCTTAGCCAAAGTTTTAAGAACAATCAAATTTGACTATCAAATTGGCATATCATATATGCTCATTTTCCAAAATGATGTTATCCAGCCAAGCAATGACAAAGAAACAAGCTAACACCTTAAAAGTTAAAACACCAAGCTTGTTTAGTTGGAATATTTCTTTCCTGATTTTATTTTTCATTTTTCTTTTAAATTAAAAATTTATAACCTTATTTTCACTTTTTCTTCTATTTACAAAGGCTTGCATTAATAATAAATATAAAAGTAAAACAAAAATAAGTTAAATTTTGTTAAGTTGTCGGATTAAAGATTTTACACTAAGAATCACCCCATATATCAGTACTTTTAAAGTAATGAATTGAATTGAAAAATACTAATTAACAATGGCATTTTCTATTCTCATGCCTGATCACAGATTATCAATTTATCATATAATTGGAAAATATAAATTTTTTTAAAAATTACTTTAAAAATAACATGAATGATTTCAATAATTTCTAATTATTGATGAAATACAAAACTTTGCACTAATGTATCAAAATTAAAATCTTCCTTAATTATTAAGAAATTCAAGAATTTTCAATCACACAACAATTTACTATTAAATGATGGTATAAAAAAATTTACAGTGTATAAAATCTTTACCATATACATGTATTCTATTTTAACTCTAAAAAAATGTCATTTTTATAATTAAAAAAAAAATATTTTCTCAAAGTAATCAACATAGTCCTAAACTTTATTAACAATGAACATTACCTCAGGGGAAGAATTCTCAAAGGTAATATTCTCAGCAATAAAGTCCCCCCCTTCCACAATGATGCTGCCACAACCAAAGGTCCCAGTCCCTATCACCTTAGCATCCTGCCAGAAAAGCACAAAAGTCACCACTTACCCCCACCAAACAAGTTTCAAATTTCACCCAAACCCAATTCCCCAAATGTGATGAAGAACATGGAGAAAAAAAATTACTAGGCCCGAACCACCAAAAAAGCTCTTTATGTTTCAATTAAAAAAAAATTTAATCTATATCCAAACATATTCTTAATAAAATTATTTATTACATATACTATCCAGATAAATTTTTAATTTTAATAAATAAATAAAAAACACATCAACAACACTTTCTAAATCTTAACCTAGTCTTAATAATAAAGTTTTATGAACTCTTTGTAAATTAAAAAAAAAAAAAAAAAACTTGATTATGTGTGAGTAGGTAACATAATGATACCTTATGGTGATGGATATTGGTGGCAGTGTTGTTCCAAGTGAGAAGAGTGTCCTCAGGGCGAAGGCCAAGGAGGGTGATGAAGTTCTTAGTCTTTGCCACGTGGAGGGGCTGCCGGTAGGTTCCCGGCGACACCCGAATGAGCGTCCGGCGAGTGTTGCCGAGCGGCACAGCGTCTATGGCCTCCTGCACCGTCCGGTACTGTCCTGTTCCGTCTTGTGACACAGTTAATACAAAAGCTGCTGCCATTCTTATTCTTACCTCTCCCTCTCCTCATTCAACACACTCTCAATAATAAGAGTTTCTTTATTCTTCGCATGTGGGTCACATTGTATTGTATCCACTATGCAACAATATTTCTTGCCTACATTCTGATTCTTCTTCTTATCAAAAATTTGATGCACAAACAAGAAATAGGCTTAAATATGATTTTGGTTCTTTAAATTTAAGATAAATTTATTTTTATTTTTTAAATTTAAAATTATTATTTTTAATTTTGTAATTTTTAAAAATTTTGTTTTAATTCTTTAAATTACTAATAATATATTTGAAAGTGACTAATTAAGACAGTTATGCAATATTAATCGGATTTAATGTGATATTTTCGCTAATAGGAACATGAATAGGTTGATTTTATACAATAATATTTGATAAATTTTTTAACAAAATTTGAATATAAAGACTAAAGTAAGATTTTTTGAAATTACAAAAACTAAAAATAACAATTTTAAATTTGAGGGACCAAAAACATATTTACCCTAAGGGACTAAAAACATATTTAAGCCTAAGAAATATTATAAAAAAGATAATGGTTTTCTTATAATATTCTTTTAGTGTTAAATATGTTTTTAACTAATATGTTAAATATGTTATTAAAAAGATAATATGTTTCTTATAATTAAGTTTTCATTTTGGTTGATGTAATTTCTTTTTCATTTTTAAAAAAGTTTGTAAATATATTTTGGTCATTGTAAAATATAAATAAAAAAAAATATTTATCTCTGTAAAATATTTTTGTTTGATTTTTTATCTCTCAAAGCACAATTTGTTGTATATATTGACTAGAATAGTCTTTGATTTTATAATAAATAGATAAATTATTAAAATGATAAACATATTTAATGAATTATTAAATTATCAAATTATCAAAACTCATTCGTTTAATGAGTACGAAAAACATATTTAAACATTCTTTTATGATATGTTTTTATTTCTTTCTTTCTTGTTATTTATCTTAGTTTGCATTGACATTTAGAAGAGAAAAAAAATCTTATTTTACATTGTTTTTTTATTATATAAATTATTATTAAAATAACGTTATTCCAAAATAAAATGGTTATCGAACTGATGCCTAAAAATTAATATTTAAATCATTTAAAATTGGAGAATATGTAAAGTAATGAAAGTTTATAATATATTGATATTTTATAAAGGATATATTCGATTTTACTTTTTTGCTTTATATATCTCTTTACTTTATATATTTTAAATATTCTTTTATAATGTATTGTTTCTATTTGTACGATACAACTAAAAATATGAGTGCGTGCAGAACTTATTTATTTATTTATTTTAGATTTTTTCTTTACTTAGATTGTATAAATTTAGAGAATAGGTAAAGTAAAGAAAGTTTATAAAATACTTTAATAAATTGAACGATAACATTATAAATTCTTTACTTTAGATGTTTTAAATACTCTTTTATAATTTATTGGTTCTATTTGTACTAGCTATACAATTAAAAAGATGTGACTTCTTTAAGAATTTCTTTTGTTCATTTTAGTTTCTTAAAAACCTAAATTGTATTTTTTTTTTCACACCGACAGATATGTATTTTATCGTTTTGATGCTTCTTGTGGTATTTTCATATAACACACGTGGCTTTGTTATGAATCTGAATATTAAAAAAGTTTACACTTCAATAAATATAATATAAATGTTATATTTCCATTAAAAAAAAGTGTGACAAGTAGCCAAACAGCTAGCTTTGTTCATAAACTTTTGTAGTCCCTTAATCTACTAGTTATTTTGAGGTTTTTCTGATGTTTAAAATTCAAGCTTTTGCTACGGAGTCATCTTAGCATTCTTCATGATGCACACACGCAATTCATGATGAAAAAGTGTCATGCTAAATTCATGATAAGAAGCAGAATGCAGCGCTTGAAAACTTCTCCTGTTTTCTGTCTAGCCAGATTTTTCAACAACAAATCCTCTTTCACATCATCATTAACATAAGTTGACACAAGTGATTTTAATTTACATCTCTTAACTAAATTATTTAAAACTTGAATTTCGACATTGATTATAAAATAGATTAGTGAAACAGTACTTTTTAGGTTAGAATTATTTCAAGAAACAGATTACACTAATTTGTATTATTTGAATAACAAAACGAGTTACAATTAGTAGTATTCGGAGATGAAATTGAAATCAAATCAACTAAGGACAATTACGAAACAACACGAGCAATAATATCAATAATACGTACAACCACCGCAATTGTAGAACCTGTACTAAGAAACAGAATGAAAAAATTAGAGAGGAGCAGAAATGGGCACAACATGAATAGAGAAAAGGAATTCAGAGAGAAGTTGTACCATACACATGTCTCTCTCATTGCACAAAATTCTTTAATAAAAGATTCTTTCTCCTTTTCCTCACGCTTATTCTTCAGTTTGTTAATTGCTTATCACACTCCACGTGTTTATTCTGTGTAACCATTTTTCGTTCCTTATCCACCTCATCATTCCTTCCCGTGCATGTTATAATACTTCCTCCATCAAAAGCAACCTTGTCGTCCAGGTTAAACTCGGGAAATGAATCTTGAATCTCTTGAACATCCTCCCAAGTAGATGTAGAAGGCCCCAAGGAACCCCATTGAATCAAAATTTGAGGGACTGGTTTGGAATGACGCATGATAGTACGAACATTCAAGACTTGAAATGGGTGTACCGAAGGACCAAACTCAGTAGTGGTAAGAGGCAACGGTATATATTGTTGTGAAGGACTCCCAACAAATTTCTTGAGTAAAGATATGTGAAACACGAGATGAATTCGAGTTGTATCTGGCAATTGTAATTTGTATGCTACTTCTCCGATTTTTTCTACAACTTCAAAAGGTCCAAAATAGCGCATGTTGAGCTTTTGATTCTTCCTTAAAGCCACTAAATGCTGCCTATAAGGTTGCAACTTAACAAGCACCAAGTCGCCCATCGCAAAATGAAGATCTCTTCGTCTTTTATCTACTTGGCATTTCATGTATTGTTGTGCCTTAAGCAAGTTCGACTTCAATTGTTGTAATAGAACATCCCGGTCACGAAGCAAGTCCTGGACTGAAATAGGATCAATAGCAGTTGTTTCATATCGCAACACTGAAGGTGGATCTTTGCCATACAAAACTTTGAATGGAGACATTCCAATGCTTTGATGAAGTGAAGAATTATACCAATATTATGCCCATGTCAACATTGAGTGCCAACTTTTAGGATTGTCAAACACGAAATAGTGAAGGTACATCTCCAAAGTCTTGTTCAAATTTTCAATTTGGCCATCCGATTGTGGATGATACGAAGAACTCATTGCCAATGTAGTCCCTTGAGCCTTGAACATATGCTTCCAAAAAGAACTAATAAAAATCCTATCACAGTCTGAAACAATTGACTTAGGGAGCCCATATAACTTCACAATATTATTAACAAAAGCATCTGCTACTACCTTACTGGTATATGTTGCTGGCAACGGAATGAAATGTCCAAATTTGGAGAGCCTATCTACCACAACCAAAATAGTAGAGAACCCATGGGATATTGGTAAATTTGTGATGAAATCTAAGGAGATATCATCCCAAACATGTTGAGGAATGGGCAATGGCTGCAGCAGCCCCGCGGGTAAGGTTTGCTCAACTTTAGCTTGCTAACACACTTGACATTCTCTCACAAACTTTTGAACTCATTGTCTCATTCCTGGCCAAAAAAATTGAGATGCAATTCGTGCCATAGTCCTAGACACACCAATATGACCACCTATTTTTGAGGAATGAAACTCATAACACTTGATTAATTAGGTCCTCATGAGCTGGTAACATAACTCGTCCCTTCCAAAATAAGACTCCATCTTTAACGCATAATCCTGTGATGGAACTGTAGCTGTTACACATTGATTGTACAACTTCTTTAACGTCTCATATGTTTGAGTTAATTCTGCCGCTTTTGTCATCCATTTATTACACGGTGTGGACCATGCCATCATAAAGCCGCGTGACAAAGCATCAACTAGAATATTGTCCTTTCCGGGTTTGTATTGTATGGTAAAATCAAAATCTAAAAATTTGGGTAACCATTGTTGTTGCTCCAGGGTTTGTAGTCGCTGTTCAATGAGTTCTTTGAGACTTCTTTTATTTGTTTTAATGATGAATTTGTGTCCAAGTAAATAATGTTGAAACTTAGCCAACGCTTCCGTAATGGCATAAAATTCGCGCGTATACACGGATTGCTTCTGCATTCGCATGGACAACTTCTTTGAGAAATATGCAATGGGATGATTTCCTTGACTTAACACCACTCCTTTTCCAGAACTAGATGCATCAGTTTCTAGAATAAATGGTTCCAAGAAGTTGGGAATGGCCAAAATAGGTGTTGTCATAAGAGCCTCCTTCAAGTTAGAAAAAGCTATTGTAGCTGCCTCAATCCATCGAAAGGCATCCTTCTTTAATAAATTAGTCAACGGAGCTGCCAACTGAGCATAACCTTTCACAAAGCGTCTATAATACCCTGATAATCCAAGAAAACCATGCAATTTCTTTAAATTCGTTGGCTGTGGCCAAGCTCGAACGACTTCTAGCTTTGTAGTTGTTGGGAAATGGCATCATAATTTCCCTTCTCTGTTAACTCAAAATGGGCACTGAGCGGAAACGTAAAATTATTACACCAGAAATTTTAGCGTGGAAAACCTTTCTCAAGGAAAAACCACGGGACCAGTAGGCCACTTAATCTTCCACTATAAAATAATGGGAATACAAAATACAATGATATTGTATCCTCAATTTGTGGATAACACTCACAAATTGGCTCACTATTTTTCTCTCTTAGAAAAACTCTCTCTAAGGCTTTCTCTCTATTTCTTCTATGAGTGGAAATGCTTCACTCTTGGATGATCAAGCCTCCTCTATATAGGCTTCAAGAATGCATCATGGCCATTGGATATATGTGGCTAGAAAACACCACAACCATTGATTTGATACTTGGTCATTATTAAGCCACACCTACCACACCTACCTCACCTACCACACTTATCACACCTACCACAATATTTTTCTATGGCTGGACCCATCAGTTGTTGGTTCGATAGGATCAAGCCACTTAGATTACTCACCTGTGTTGTAAGAGATCTCTTA